GAAATTTGTGAGTGCCCATGGGATTTAAGTCTTAGCATCTCTAGCAGTTCCCAGTTACACCATCCTATAGATCATGGAACAGTAGTTTTAGTAAAATGAAATCTTTTAAGAAGAGGTCATCATATCTTATTTATCATTTGTACTCATTAACAGTTCTTTGTTTACTTGTCACGTTATAGACCCCCCTTAAGGCACCTCATTAAGTAAGTGAAAAGTGTTTGACGTAACTGGAGAATGGTAAAGGTCTGCTGTGATATTGTCTATGGGTTGATACAAGCCATACACACTATTGATTTGTTAATGTAATTCCAATAAAATAATGATGCTGTCTGGTGGGGGAGATTTCAAAGATAGGCTGCCCGCAATAACGGGCTACAGGCAAGGACGGTCTTAATTAATTGAAAGATAAACAGTATAGAATTTGATTCTTGTAGATTATTTTACATCTTAGTAAGTTATTATGATGTATGACAGGACGATTAGACTGGTCTCATTACTTTTTAGCGAGTGATTCAACAAAAGAATTGCATGCATCCTATGATGATATGGGTACATAGCCTGCAGAAGTGATAATGTTAGAACTGCTTTGTATTATTTGTGATGCTGACAAATTGAGGAGAAGAAACTGACAGAAAAATTGAGTCTTTCCTGTAACACTGATGCTTTAGAAATAGAAAAAGGTAGATAGAGTTTGGGTTTACTTCAGCTTTAAGGAGCAAATGAGGGAGGGGAGCAGAATTAAATGAAAAAAAGAAAGCTTATTTCCAAAAAAAAGAAACCACATGTCTGGTATCCTTCAGTATAATGAACTATCCAGGTGTTTAAAATTATGCAGCCTTCAATACACAGAATAGACTGGTAATTTCTTCTGCATTCAAATATCAGGTTACATTTATTAGTTGCTTTTGTTCCTTGCACAGCCTGGTTGCGTAAAAAAAGGAAAACTTAGAATGAAAAGCCATCTTTCATGGACCATGCGCCCAATAGTGCTGGGGCTTATTTAAGTGCAAGCTGGTTAGGACCGTAAGACAATGAAGTGACATTATTCTCTGGATTTGTTGTTGCATTTTCTTATAACTGAAGATCAGGAATTTTTTTTTTAATTAATGCTTTTTGTGGATGTTGTAGAAACCTGTCTGTGTTTTTTTTTTTTTTTTTTTTATGAACTGAGTAACAAGTAACCGGAAGAGTAAAATAAAGCATGCAAGGTATAAGAGTTCAGTGGTATGATTGTTTCCTTTCTTTAGTCTGTGGTGTCGGAGTTGGTGTATCAGACAGTGGCATTTCCTCTCCCTGTGTACGCCATGATGGTATCTTACCTTAACTGTCCTCAAACCAGTATAATAAAAGATCTCCAGAGCTGTTTGTGAGAAAATGTTCAGTGATGTCAGTGTTATGTGACTATAATAGTCAGGATCAGGCTGGGATCTCTTGTAAGTTTTTAACTTGCTCCCATGTGAATAGTGATAGCATGCATTACATCTTGCAGATATCTTGTGATAGATGGGTAGATATAAATCTTGCTTATGCTTTAACAGTTTGGACCAGTCAGCTTTTATTTGCAGTCTTTTAAATGTGTAATTTCTTGGTAGACATGGGTTCTTTAATTAACCAATATGGTGATAAGAATTATGTATATATTATACTGGTTTTACAGACTAGCACCTTGAACAATGTTTGTTATGAACTAGTCATTGAATAGTCATTTTGCTATGCTCTGCCTTCTCCATTTCTTCTTATTCTGCTTCTTCTTGTTCTTTTTCTCTTTATTGCAACATAAACAGTTATGTTAACTGGTCAGCCAGTATTTTATATATGAAAACTCATTATCATACAAAGCTCACTTTTGGAAACCATTAAAATTAATCACTTGAAGTACACCTCTAGTGTCATATCAGTTAATTAAATCAGATCCTGAGGGCTTAATTAAGTAGCACTGGACAGGGTAGGTGCAAGGAATGCACCACAGTATAATAAACTTTGATTAAGTGTTGCTTCGTGTCATTTCATTGGGTGGTAAAATTTCATACTTGGGTTGTCACCCTGTGTGCTGTAGTCAGCTACTAATAGCCTAGTCATTACTATCACACCTTCATCTCCTTTTAAACCTCATATTTAATAAGCACAGGTTAGCCCCCGAGATGTGTATTAAGTGAATCCTGAAAAAGGTCAGGGGTGCCTGGCCATACTGTGACTTTAGCCTGGTTGAGCCTCCTAGGTTGTTCCTCTCCGTGACATGGAGAGTAAGGCTCTCATTGTCCAGTGAAATCTTCCCTACGTATTAGTTGACCCTGTCTCCTAAGTCACCCTAGCCACATTGTATTGTACGCTGCTGCTGCCGTGATATGAACAACAACGCCTGAGCCAGTCAGTCATGTGACCGGTGTTCTTAGTGACAAGAGCACTAGGCCTTAAGTGAGTGAAAGGAGCACCACCTGCATTGCCATCAGTGATATGGTTATCATTTGTATGCATATATTGCAGGTTAACAGCGACAGTTAAACGGGGTAACTCCGACCCAACCAAACCAGCCACCCTTGAAGTTAACGGGACCACCACCACCACCACCACTGCTACACTTGATGGTGCCGGGCGACTTCAATTTGGGGTGAAGACAAAGACATTGAGAAGAATCGACTTTATGTAGCTGGTAGATTAGATTGTTGAGGTAAGTGGCTGCATGTCATTGTGTGTGATTATCTTGTTTGGCTGTAGCTGAAGATTACAGGTGATAAACTGTTATAATGATCACTGCTGGTGTGGATGGCATGGCTTTGATTGCTTTACTTATCTACTTATCTCCTGTGTTTATTTTGTTGTAAATGTAGCAGGTTGAATAAGTGAGTGAAAGAGAAAGAGAGAAAAGAAGAGTTTATTTTTCATATGCTTCTTTGAATGTACATGTATGCTTATATTAGCTACATACCAGCTAATAAATTTATTTGGATGGCCTGTTACAAAAAAAAAAAAACAAACAAACTTTTTTTTGGTCCATTGAAGCACATTTTTAATTTTTTTTCCTTAAAGATATCATAATAGTATGAAAAGGCACGTGGGAAAAAGCTTTTAATGCATACTGAAATCCGTGACCTTTTTCTCAGAAACTATATATGATACAATATATCATAAGTAACTATTATAATCAAGTGGGCACCCCACAGCGTGACACCATGCTTGAATTAACGTTTGACTCGGTGATCTGCAGACAGTTTATAACAATAAGGTACCCTCTGTAGCATAGCTTGAGCAAGAACAGTTTTTCTTAATGATAATAAATAAGGTGAGATGTTTTATGTATGATTTTTTAAACCTATGTTTCCATATGGTTTATGAGTGTTATTGTATAATGCAGTAAGTAGCAATCAATAATAAATTAAGCAGATTTGATGCTGGGTCTGATATCAACTGGTTGATTTCAGTCGGTAGGAGCTCTGGTAATATGTTTTATTGTTTTTTTTTTTATTTTCATGTGTAAATGTATCACCTGGCTGCAATAGCAAAGCAGATTGTAAGAGAGAAAATAGATGTTGCTGTTGTGCATGCATTATCGTAATTTACAAAAAGTTTGATTACATTGGTATCAGCTTGGCACGAAATAGCAATCGGCTGAACAGTTTTATGGCTTGCATTTCTAACATCATACATATTTACAGTGATAAGTAACAGCTGGTTGCATTTGTTATGTAGGAATATACGTTGATATTGAGATGCTCGTTTCATGTCGCTCTTTCTCTGCGGCATTCAGTTTGTTAATTGTAGCAATCCTCTTTATAGTAATAGTGTCCCCCATAATGATAATTGGGAGGGAAATGCCCAGATTTTACCACAAGTATTGAAGGGAAACCAAGTGTCTAGTAGAGTTTTTATACCTTACCGAAAGACAAAGCATTGCCCTATCGTTAGCATCTGTCCTATTGCTTTGTCTCAAAAGATAATGCATTTAGGTATTCAGATATTTGTTTCTGTGGTTCTGATATTTAGGATTAGATTCTCTAGTTACTTATATATTCATCACATGTAACATTATGGGTCGTATACAAAATAAAAAAGTGACTCAGAGTGCAGTCATTAGTGTACACATTTTGTGTAATATTTTCATAACTGTTTTTATCACTTTTTATGTACAGACACAGATGTGTCTGTACATATTGCCATCACCTGCGTCTGTCGTCGCCGATGGCGATGGCGATGGCGATGCCNCCTCTAGTTTAGAGGAAGTTTTTAAAGAGGTAGACCGTGCTTCTTCTCTGTTCTCATCATGAGCTTTGACATCTTATTTTCTTTTCTAGGTAATATTGTTTTTTCTGAGCTAAAGCCTGGCAAACTGAAAAGTGTGAAAGAGGGAATTTTCAAAGAAGTCCAAGCAAAGATTCACTTAAGAGGGAACAATTGGAGGCCAATGAAGTAAGTAGTTTGTGAAAGGCACACATGTACACCATGAGATTAATATGCCAAAATGGATTTTCCTGGGGAAAATAAGCAATTTTCTCGGACTCCTAATCATTTATCTGTCCCTCTCTGCACTTGGATTTGACCTTTGATAAAACTTAAAAAGGACAGGTTGACTTTAGCATAAAATGACTGGCAGGTTATTTTGACAGGGATCATTTTCCTATAAGTTCCAATAGAAATATCAACATCAGGTACACTCCAAAAAGTATTTAAGGTGATAAATCATTTCTAAGGTGTATGTAAGGTTTTATAAGAAGCTGTGGATGAAAAAATTAGAAGATTTGGGGATTTTCAAACCCATGGAGTGTAACTTTGGGTACTAGTTTTTGTGACCTCACCATGGTGCTTGCATTTTTCAGCTTTTTCAAAAAAAAAAAGTCCACTTTCATCTCTGATTCTATATTATGTATATATATATAACACAATTTAATTGTCAAGATGCTCTATTTTGTTGTTGTTTCCAGATATAACCAACACCAAAGTATGGTATATATGGTAGCAAGGCTGGACAGGGAGTATGCAGACTTGGTCAGGGTTTTCCATGAAGTATGTACAGAGTTAATCTATCTTATCTCATAAAATATTCTGTTTTGAAATTTTGAATATATTTTCATTTCATTTCATTTATTTCTCTTGTCTTCACAGTGAGAACATATAACAGTATTATTTAACCCGGGGGGTAAACTGAGGCTCTCATTGATTATTTTTATGAATATACACAGGTTTTTCAATATATTGATATTCTTTGAAGCAAAAAGATTGTAAAACTTATAAATGTTAGGTCTGTTTATAAAATAGTCAGGTACCAAACTTCTTCCATAATTTGTGAGTAAATCGCAATCCATTATGTAATGAATATGATATATATCTATCCAACATTGTTCTTGACCTGGACCAGTGCTTTGATTATGTGGCTTGTATCACACAAGTAAATGAAAGGTTTTCCCATTGCTTCACAAGGGATTTATTTACTATTAATAAAAATGATAAAAGGTAGCTACATTCTTATGTCTCCAACTTGTTATTGCGTACTATGGCCTATTTATTGTTTTATGTCTATAAATTTTCACTTTTAACATCTTTTTATTATTTTAACATAAAAAAAAAATAATAATAATAAGATGGTTATTGGGGTGTGCCTCATGCAGTGTCCATGGAATGAAATTATCACTAATGGTCACTGTGTTGTCTTATTTCAGATCAAGGCAAGGGATCCAGAGTTTAAACCAGGGACGCTGTTTGACTTTGGGTCAGGAACAGGATCTGTAATGTGGTGAGTTGTCCAATGACACAGAAACACACTCACCTGACTAGAAACGGGAAGAGATAAAGATAAAGCTAGTACTGGACTCACAGAGTCTCTCTCCTATTTCAGAAACACAATTTCTGCCTTAGCAATTTTGATAAAGCGTTGTAAGACAATCTAGATATGAAAGATAAAAAGATATGAATAAAAATGGGCGTAATCCAGCTCGTTTTTGAGAGGTAGTGTCCTGAATATCATGACAGTTTGTGAACAAATTCGTGAGTGCGTACGATGCATCATAAAATTCCAAGCATTCATTGCTGAACACAATGTTTTGTTGACATATTTGTTACTTTTTCGATCAACAAAGCTTTTATTAAAGGATGAATTACGTATTTTATTGCATATTATATTTTGATAATTAGCTGCTGTCATGAAAAAAGTACTGGACCTAATATGAGAGAGCCTCCTTAAGATGCAATGCAGATGCAATGATCTTCTACCCTCTACTAAGGGACCACAGAAAGAAATGCATTTACTAGATATTCACAAAAATTTCCATAAGTGGCTACTCACTAGCTATATATCCACATTGCCCTTCTGTGAAGATTTGTGCACAACAACCATGTAACCACCTAATCAGCTATTTTAAAAACATTATTTTTCAGGGCTGCAAATACCGTGTTTAAGAATTCGATCTGGGAGCATTTTCTTGTGGACAACTCTGTAGAAATGCACGATCTAGCTAAGCTACTGCTTCATGGTAAGGTTAACTAACTGGTATAACATAAATATGCTGCTCTGGTTCAACCTGGCCTTAAGCTTGCTGTGGAATGACACCTTTGTCTTAAATTGAATTATGTAGATTTTATAGATCTCATTCATGTGATAAAACATAGTTTTTCTTAAGAATGACTGGTGTTTTATGCATAAGTTTGCATGCAGTGAGTAATATAAAACTTCTTCCATACCAGTCATATTTTGCAAAATTTATTTTTCAACACTGTAGGTGGCGACCCAGATGGCAAACCACACTTCAAGAATGTCTACTTCAGATACAACATGCCAGAAACACTACGGGTACAGTACTGCGATTATTTTATTAATGAAAAAGTATTGCTGTTGCCTGCCAGTTTTGACTGTAGCGCAAGAGTGAAGATACATTGATTCCTGAATTTTGAAATGAATGGATGGTTTCTAGTAATCTAATAATCTAGTAGTCCACTTTTGTGGACTTTTGGTTTGTTGGAAAGTTGTTTAGTATCAAGGAGATGAAACAAGTATCAATGTCAACTTTTTAAGACATATTTTGTCCAGGTTCAAATTGGATTCAGTGTAATTAAATTTAGAATTAAAAAATGAAAGTCAACTTAAAAATAAATGAAAACAATTCGTGAAAGCAGGGATTAAAGGAAAATAAAATTTTTCATTTCACATAATATTTTGGGGCTTCAAAATTCAGTAATTTTATTTTATTTATTATTACTTTTTTTTAATTTATTTATTTGTTGTAAATTGTTTTTTAATACATTTTTTAATTTTTCATTTTAGTATCAAAATGACCTGGTAGTGAGCGCCTTTTCTCTATTTGAGTTATCCTCTAAAAGTGAGAGACTGGAAATCTGTGAACAGATGTGGAAAAGGACGAAACCTGGAGGATATATGGTAAGGACCATAAATGTTTAGAAGAACCAGGAAAGTTTTTAAAAAAGTGTAACATTCTCTGAACATGTATTTTGCCATTCGAGTATTTAGATCAAAAGCAGTCGGATCAAACTTTTTGTAGTGACCAGACATGAGCTTTTTCTGCAGAAACATGGAATTTAGCATTTTATAATTCAGTTCTGATGGTTCTGGAGATTCGTCAAGATCTGCAATTAAATGATAAATGTTTAGAGGTTTTTAATTTTTTTAAACCTAGGCTCATATCTGAGTGACTTATGTGAATTTTGTAGGTCCTCATGGAGTTGGCCTCGAAGACTGCTCACACTGTTATGATGGAGGCTAGGGACCACATCCTTAAAGTAAGTGAGTGAGTGAGAGAGAGAGAGAGAGAGAGAGAGAGAGAGAGAGAGAGAGGGGGGGATTAGGAGAGGGAGAGAGGATTTCAGGTTTTAGTTAAATTTGAAAAATAATATTGCATTTTTAAATATTCTTCAAGTTGGAGTTTTTTT